AAGTGGACAGGGTCCTCTGGGCTGTAAATGCCACCACCTGTCAATTAGATCCATGCCCTTCCTGGCTGGTTAAGGCAGCTCGGGAGGTGACATGTGGGTGGGTCGAGGCAATGGTGAATTCATCCTTGAGAGAGGGAGTGTTTCCAGTGGCCTTTAAAGAGGCAGTGGTACACCCCCTCCTCAAGAAACCATCACTGGATCCCACCGTACTGGACCATTTTTGTCCAGTCTCCTACCTTCCCTTTTTAGGGAAGGTGGTTGAGAAGGTGGTAGTGCTGCAGCTCCAGAGAACCCAGATGAAATGGATTATCTGGACTCTTTTCAGTCGGGTTTCAGGCCCAGATTTGGGACTGAAACAGCACTGGTTGCACTCTTGGATGATCTCTGGCGGGAGCGGGATGGGGGTAGTGCATCCATCCTTGCTGTTCTTGACCTCTCAGCAGCTTTCAATACCATTGACCATGGTATCCTTTTGGGTTGGCTTGGGGAGTTGGGGGTGGGTGGCATAGTTTTGCACTGGTTCACCTCCTTCCTCCAAGGCCGGTCCCAATCAGTGTTGACAGGGAGCAAGAGGCCCCTCCTTTGTGGAGTCTGCGTGGTTCGGTACTTTCCCTGCTCCTTTTTAACATCTACAGTACATGAAACCACTGGGCGAGATCGTCTGCCACCATGGAATGAAGTATCATCAATATTGCAGATGATATCCAGTTATACATCTCTATCCCAGGTGATCTGAATGATGCTGTGACTACCCTTTCGCAGTGCCTGGAGGCTTTGGGGGTCTGGATGGGGAACAATAGGCTTCAGCTGAACCCTGGTAAGATGGAGTAGCTGTGAGTTGGGGGCTCCTCTGTATCCGGAAGTTTACCATTTTGGGTTCTGGATGGGGTTGCACTACCCCGGACAGAACCAGTGCGTAATCTGGGGGTCCTCCTGGACTCAAGACTCCTGCTCAAAGAGCAGGTGGCAGTTGTGGCCAGGAGGGCCTTTGCTCAACTAACTATGTGTTGTGCACCAGTTATGCCCTTTTCTGGATCAGGAGTCCCTCCAGTCAGTCATTCATGCCATGGTCATCTCCTGCATAGACTATTGCAATGCGCTCTACATGGGGCTACCCTTGAAAAGTATCCAGAAGCTTCAGCTGGTTCAAAATGCAGCTGCACAGGCAATTTTAGGTGCCCC